TGTATGTATTTCATACTATTATAGAATAAAGATATGAAAAAAATTAATGAGTTTCCAAATCAGTCGATAGAAAACGATGGATTTATTGATGATTTCTCATAAATTTTGGCTTTTTTTTGCATAAAATCAAAATTACATGTAAATTTGTTTTCTTTTACTGCAAACATTTACACTATTTGTATTGGGTTCCCTGTGTTGCCATGAAAGGGAAGCTTTCTTTTTCGGCGCCATGATTTGCATGTCAAGCAGCCAGTGATTATCTACAATGCAACAACCCCAAATGGCCGACGAAGAAGAAGAATCCTGGCAAGAATTTTTTGATAACAACAGGGCAATCCTCCCCCATCCGTCCAGAAGGATCATTGATGGTCAAAAACAAGCTATTACAGGTTTTTGTTTGACCATAAAAGCTGTTGAAGGAGTTCGTTTGCCACAGGCTCTTACAAACGTAAGATATAGCTGAAGCTTGCTATGAATTTTTAAAAAAATTTTGTTATAAGCTAAAATAGCGTTCCCTTATACTGTTTACTTTTTAACCGATTATAATTCATTAAATAGGTTATGCAATTTTAGTACTGTAGCGCGACTCTTCATGACTCTTTTTTGTGTTTCTTGAAACTATTGGCAACAAACTATGCTGCAAATATATAGATAGGGTGGTTGTTTCGAGGACCAAATTATAATTTGTTATGACTATAGCATGAAAATACCTCGGCTCTCACCATTAATATAAATTCAGATTTTAATGCAAAAAGCCTGAGTTATTTTGACACCTTTGTCCTGTGCTATAAAGGGACTGTACGCTGTACTGGGGCTGGGCTGGAGTATTTGGGGACTCTTGGGGATTGTATTTCTGCTAACACTTATTATAGCACTAATAATTGATTGGTCAAAGCTAGGCGACTTTTCATAAGGAATATCCACAGTTTGAGGTCTGAAACGAAGGGTACCYATTGGGTACTCAAAGGCTACCCATATATATATATATACAAACTTTGTGTGAAATCATCACATGCATCTAAAGGTTGCATGGGAGGGGTGTCTGCCTCTCAACGTACTATGATATTATTTGAGGACAAGGAATAGATTTATGGTAATTCTATTAATTTTACAGGAAATAGCACCAAATGATGCAGAATTTCAACTAAGAATCACTTTCTTTGATACTGCAAACAAGTACTTTTATGGAAGCACTTGGCTTGGTCCAATATTAAGTGCTGCAAGTTTTGATAATGGAAGGTTTACCATAGATAGTGAAGAGGTACAATTATTTTCAAAATTCTTTTATCTAAAATTAAAAGTAAAAAGTTTAGCTTTTAATCCTTTGCAGCCCTTTCTTAGCATCAGTCCCAAACTCCCTTTTGTACCCTTTCCACTAGTGGTTAGTTGAGAGGGTGAATTTGGGACCAACACTAAGAACAAATGCAAAGGAGCTAGTTTCCCTCTCCATTTGGATATTATTCTAGAAATTTAAAACACTTTCTGCATTTGTATATATTTTATATATATTGCTATGTTTTTATTTGCTTAATTTTTGTAGCAAATACTAGGACTTGAGAATAGTCCCTTTCACAGTTCCATGTGCCATCTTGAAAGGTAGCAGTGCCTTTGCATCAAAGCCAGATGAACGGTGAGCTTGCAATGACCACAGGAAAAAATTTCTAAAAAACGTAATGGTTTTTGAGTATATTCCCATTGTGGTAAAAATACATTAATGTGTTTTATCGAGACACATGGATGTTAATTTGATAACTGTAAATTGTACATAAAACATTAATGATCTTCAAGTAAACAACAACGGCATTTAGAATTGGAAAAAAACATGTATGGTTTTTGCTCTAAAAGCAACAATGGTTAATAATTTCCCATTAATGGTAAACCATGTGAAGAACACAGTGTTGTGTTATGAGCAATACGCATGAATGTTTAAGCTTAAATTCCCAAACAGACTAAAAACACAGTAGCTGGTAAATCAAAACCAACCATGATTTTTATTGTGGACCAGTCTATCCCATCATTGGTTAATCATATCCCATTAATGGTAAACCATGTGAAGAAATCACAGCATCGGGAAATTGAAAACACAATGTTGTGTTATGAGCAATACACGTGAATGTTTAAGCTAATTCCCAAGCAGACTAAAAACACAGTAATTGGTAAATCAAAACCATCCATGGTTTTTATTGTGGACCAGTCAATTCCATCAATGGTTTATCATTTCTCATTAATGGTAAACCATGTGAAGAAATCACAGTATTGGAAAATTGAAAACACAATGTTGTGTTATGAGCAATGCACACGAATGTTTAAGCTAATTCCCAAGCAAACTATTGTCAGTTTTTCTTTCTTTGGTGGGCAAATGTTCCAACATTAAACTTTTTTTCATACTGTCATTGCTGAGAGATATTGGTTAACTTGTATGAAAGAACCAAAAAAAGTTGAGGGTCACTGTGCTAGTTCTGGAGATAATTTGCATGAGATTTAGCACTAATTTCTTTATGAACTATTGGGGACCGTGGTCAAATTGAACTGCATTAAATAAAGAATCTAAAAGAAAATAAACTTCTAAGGTTTAACTTTTTCTAAAAATTGGCAAGAATGTGCAAAATAAGTAGATAAATAATAGCAATTAATATAACTTAAGGTTACGTTACTTTCGAAGTCAACATCTTGACTTCATCATCAGGCATAAGTGAAGTTAAAGTCTACTGATGACTTTCAGAGCAGCTTGTTATATGTGATTAACAATGCAATGAGTTTCGGTGGAAATAGCTTATAAGCAGAGTTAAAGATCCTACAACAAACTTGTTTTCAACTATTTGCCACTGTTATAAAATAGTGAATTATAAAATATCCATTCAGTCTCAAATTAGCCATGTGTTATAGGGAGAAACCATTACCAGTAATTAGAGATTTAACATGCATTTTTTATGGGTGGAATGCATTATGGCTTCAGCTTACTAGCCATTGCTGTTTTTACCCCAAAAAACATCAGTTGTATGCTTGTTYTTTTCCATCAATGGTGGGAATTATACAAAGTACCACTCCAAAAACCATTTATGTGCTTTCATGCAAAAACCATTGTGAGAAGTTGGAGAAACATGCAAGCGTCATAATAGGCAAACACATCATGTTTTCAGCTTACTAACCATTAATGTTTTTTATCATAAAAACTATAAATGGGAAGTGTTCTGTTTTTCCATTCATGTTTTTTGAATGGGAATTGCTGTAATTACCATTTCAAAAACCATTTATGTACTTTCATGGAAAAACCATTATGAGAAGTTGGAGAACCATGCATGTATTATAAGTCAAACACATGTTTTCAGCTTACTAACCATTAATGTTTTTTATTATAAAATCCATAAATGGGAAGTGTTGTGTTTTTCCATTTATGTTTTTTGAATGGGAATTACTATAATTACCATTCTAAAAACCATTATGTTTTGTAGAAATTTTTTCCTGTGGATAGAGAACTTTTTAAAATTACCTTACAATTATGTCTCTATCATTGAAAGCTCACTGTTCATATTGCATCAATGCAAAGGCACGGCTACCTTTTTAAGATGGCGCAAGGAACTGTGAAGGGGACTAAAGTAATATTAAATCAATAATCACTGGTCTCAGATATTGAACAATAATATTATTTGCCAAAGGCGAAGTGATTATCAGTGAAAGTTTACCGAGTCACAAGTCTTAGAGTGACAAGGTAAATATTCATATTAATCACTGAGCCTGAAGTGAATAACTGTTTTCTTAGTATAATTTTAGACTTGAATATCAGAGAAAAGGCGAAATTCAGGATTTAAAAAACGTTAATAGTTTTAATTCCATTTTGGTAAACTTTGGGAAACCTCATAATCAACGCTCAAGCAGTGATTCTCATTTCAATTAAAGTGTGTCAAACTATATTCAAGTCTAAAATCATACTAATCTCTAAAGATGGTTAAAGATGTTCAAGCTTTAGTACAATTGGATAAATGTCTAATTCTTTTCATATGCTGCATTTCAGCCTTTATATTTTCACTCCTCATTGAACGACTACACTTGTGTAACAGCTGCTGAGATTATAGTGTTTGGTAAGTTTGATGTGGTGTTTACAGTCAAAGCAACTCAAGTGTAAACACATAGAGATCATGAATGAATTTAGTTTTGGATTTTCTTGATTTCACTATTCGATTTGAACATTCATTTATTGAAAACAAATCTTCAAAGCCTAACATATACAAAAGCCAAGTATATACGCAGCTGAAATGCAAGAGCAACTTTTTGTGCAAGGAGTATGTAATATTAATGACATACCTTCTGTTGCCACTATAAACAAAGCTTATAAGCCAAGTTAATTGAATTTTCAAATTATTATATTATTTTTTGAATATTGAAGACTTCCTTTTCAATATTGAATGTTTGAATCGAATAATAAAATCAATAATCCAAATATAAAGTCATTAATAACCTCTATGTGTTCATATTTGAGGTGGTTTGACTGTAATAAACGAGCAACTCAATTTAACTATCACTGATATACCATGGATCTGTCTTTAGTAGGTGTTCTTGAAGCTAAGTCGCAACATAATCACCCTCTTAATATTCTGTATACAGTTTCAGCATGTGCACACTCTAGCTTTGTAACTGTTAGAGACTGAGGATTGTAAACATTTTATGTACACCCTTGATGCTGGGCACTCAACCCAAAAGTTTGGATTTATTTAATATTCATAAGAAATTGGTTGAAGAATCCTTGTTATTATAAAAAGATAAAATAGTTCCATAAAATAGTTTCCAATAAAGATTCCATTATTATATATTCTTTATAAAAAGTAAACTAATGAAGAAGACTTTTGTGTATAAAGGTGCATGCAATTCCATTGAGTGATTGTATGGTTGCTCCAATTGGATCAAAGGCTTATGAATTATTCATGGCGTTTTTTGAAAGCCACATAATGTGCATGCAAGCGTAATTACCATGAAGGAAATACTGTGTTCTCAGGTCTCAGGTTTTATACAGTTCTCAAAAAATCAAAATAGATTCATACCAATAGTTTTCCTTCTTTTGTACTACTGTTGTACTAAAATTTCACTTTTAAGCTTTCGGCTTCGTTTGTTTAAACTTCAAAACCTGACCGTTAACTTGTAAAAACCAGCCAAAAACCCAAATTTCAGTGTGCAACTCGGAGACACAGAGTTTGTATGTTTATGAAAATTGCAGTAATCAAATGTAAAACCACTGACCTGTCTCAATTAGTTTTTACTATTTGCAGGTCAATGGTGTAAATTTGCAATGGTCATTTAATTTATTTAAAGTTCTATCTTTTGAATTAATAAATGTGTTCTATTTTTAACAAATGTTAGGTAAAAACAACCAAGGATACAGTCTAGGATGGACATTTCTAAGAATTTTTGATAGAGTAAATGAACTTAGGGATATTTCTACGCCTCCACTCATTCAAAGGTAATTTGAATGTTGTATGGTATATAATTGAATAAAGCTGAGCTTTGATACGTGTACATGTAAATGAGATCAGTGTTATACATGTAGCTCATACATGTAATATACCATGTATACATTACAGGCATTCAATCTACCGTGGTTCTTTGGGATTGCTGCATTATCTACCACCACAAGATGATCTTGAAGGTATTACAGGTGTAATTTGATTTAGTCTACCAGTTGTTTGACCATACAAAGTGGATTAATTAATATACTATTGCTAGAACAATATTTTGTTTAAGATTTCAGCATTAAGTTTTAAGTTGAACACTGACACATCTTCAATTCAAACAAGTATTTCTTGTCCCACACGCACGCACACTCACTCATACATATGATTACTGTATATATGATATTTAAACATGATATATATATATATATATATGTATATATTTCTGCATTCTTTTTTGTTATTATTTATATGATTTTATATGATTTTATTAACATTTTTGATTAATTAATTAATAATTCTTTTATTTTCAATTTTCTAAGTATTTGTTAAGACCATTGAGACAGGTGTAATGGGCTTTATAAGAATTAAAGTTATAAGTATATGTAATAGGACTCCATGCTGTCCAATTAAGAAATAATTGGACGAGGAAAATTCCGAGGACTTCCACAATTGGATGAGGCCATAGGCTGAGTCCAATTTGGCAGTTAGAGGAATTTTTCGAGTCTAATTATTTTTTGATTGGGGAGCATGAAATCCCATTACCTATTAATTATATAGCTGCCTAATTAATCCCATATCAACAAGACCTGTCCAATTAAGAAAATAATTGGACAGTTACCTATATGGGATTAATGAGAAGCTGTATGATTATTGTTACGGCTGGGGCAATCTTTCGAGTTTCCCCGGGTCGGCCGTGTTAGAACAGCAAATCACTTACTGAGATTCCATCATTCAATCACTGCATTTATTAGAATCACGTAAAGACTGGGTAAAATACAATAAGGTATATCTGTATTAGTTAAAACCGCTTACAAATAGAAAAAATGTGCTTGATTAGGGAATGATTATGCAACACGTGGTCTAGCGATACTTAGAAATGAATGCTCAGCCAACTATAGGAAGTTTATGCTGAATAATAATATTGATAATTTCTTGTAGGAGAACTAAATATAATGAGTTACATACCTCTGTGCTACTTGGCCGGATAGCAAATTAGTTAATATTCTAAGGAGCTTCTTTCTTAGTTTAACTTTCCTTCGACACGCTACATCAACTTATCACCCAAATCAAACTATCCGATTACGGTTATGTGATACGAGCATAATCACTGGTAAATCATTAACAATTATTATTATTATTATTATTATTATTTTATATTGTCATATCATTATTCATTCTTTCATTTATTTAGAATTACTATTTAAGGAATACAAAACACGTACATTCTCTGTACTGTGATATAAACACACTGGGAGCTGTAGAGCATGAGAGAAGCAAACTTTGTAACTTGAGGTGTAACCTAGTATTTCTTTTACTTTTCTAGTTCTCTACAACTCCTAGAGTGTTTAATCACAGTACAGGATATAATCAACTGCTTTATATTGCTTTGGTACTTTTTTCCAGGATACCTTGATAACCAAAAAATAGAAGGTTGCTATATCTGTTATTCACTACAAATCCATCCTGCCCTGGAAAAAGTCTTCCATCTTTTTCCAGAAAATCTTCTTCTTGGAGGAGATGATATTGTTCCTGGAATATCTGAAACAAAGAGTGAAGGCATGTTCATTACTAGTATTATCATTGATTGCAACCCCTGAAGTTCAATGTCTTGTTTGCAGACTAGCATTTTGATGACCATCAGTCAAAGAACTGAAATAAAAAAACAATGACTTGAGAGAGATTTTAGAGGGTTAGAGAGTTAAAATCTTTATTTCAGTCAGATCTTCCTCCTAAAGTTTTTCAAAATTTCAGTTCTTTTGATTAGCATTACTAGCCAACAGCTTACTGTTAACCAACCCACATAGCACAACCCGATGATCAACGTTTGCAGGCCACAGACCAACAACTGCAGTTCTACCCATAACACAGAGGCACATACAATAGCCATTTTTTGATGACTTCACACCTTTATTTAGAGAATGTTTGATTAAGTTAAACATGGATACAACCATCCCGGGGGGGGGGGGGGTACTACCACCCCAACTTGGGTAGGGGTATGCCGCCAGGACCTCAAAACCCTGACCCTATCCCAGACCTAAAATTTTGATTTTACATACCCTACTCCAGACTAAAACTAAGAATTATAAACCCTATACCAGACTAAAAGACGGAAAATACGTTTTTACAATCGATTGCAATCAATATTAATTTTACTAACATTTTTATTGTTTTTGGTCGGCAGAAAGCTTAGCCTATTTGCCAGACAAAAACGACCAAATTGTTAACCGTATCCGTATCCCAGACTAAAATGATACCCTATCCCAGACAAAATGTCAAAAAATGATACCCTACCCCAGACCCAAAAGCCGAAAAACCATACCCTATAGGGCGGCACATACCCGTATAGCAAATATAGGGGCGTACCCCCCCCCCCCCCCCGGGCAACCATCTTACCAATGACATAAACCCCAAGAACCTACTGCAGCCACCCACTCAAAATACATCATACCATCTACCCACCAACATCAGAATATACAACCAATATACAACCATCTAACCCATGACATGAGCCCCAAGAACCTACAGCTACTCACTCAAAATACATCATACCATCTACTCACCAACATCAGAATAGACAACCAATATACAACCATCTAACCCGTGACATGAACCCCAAGAACCTATAGCTACATGTACTCACTCAAAATACATCATACCATCTACCCACCAACATTAACATACAGTGATTTTTCCAACATGCTACTAACGTCTGAAACGTCAGTCTATTATCTTTCGTATTTACGGTGATAAAATTATCCACTACGACACATTTGTGACAACTTACCACCTGAGTTGACCATGTTCCACAAAAGGAACTATGGGTCAACTATTTGATAGTATAATTCTATCAATATGACTAGGGCACACTACAGCAGGTTAACATTTGACTGTGGTTTTCTTTATATATATTATAGCACTTATACTCATGGTGGTAAAGGTTTTATCCTTTTATTTAATGAGACATATTTCACAGGATATCTGTAAATTTGTTTTTATTTTGTTTGTAGATGATGAAGTCATTAATATTCTGAGAAAGCCTAGACTACTAAAAACATACCCATGTTTTATCAACAAGGTAACAAAACATTAGTTACAGAGCTAATACATATTTTTTTAATTGTGCACTCTCCATTCATACATACTGTAATCACAAATACACAAACACAGAGCTAATGCATTATCTGTGTTGTTATTCATTGAGTCCTGAAGTCTGCTGTCATTATCTTCATGAATGATAATCAATAAACTATAATTTGCATAGGAAATTGAATGGGTTTGAGTGCCATTTGAAAAATATATATGAGTGCAGTAAAATCAAGATTTTCAAATTGCATGAGCTGGAGGTGACTCGATATAATTTAGAATTGCACAAGAACCCATTTTATTTTTTTGAATAATATGACCATCAAAAACATTGAATTTGTTCTAGTATTAATTTTTTTGCATGTTGATTTCAACTTTCTTGCAACATTGGTGTCAAAAATCAACAAGTAGCAGACCAATCACCATTGAGAATTTTTGATGGTCATATTATATAATTGTTAAAAGTAAAATACCTTTCAACAGATCGCTAATATGATCTTATTAAAAGATTGATTGAACATTCAAGCACTTTTAGCATTAAGCCAAATTCTGGCCTCTGAATTTCTATGTGTGGCTAATGACTTCTAATTTCATACTGAAGGACGCTCTCGTAAAGTGTGAGCAGAAATGTCTAAAGTTTCAATAGCTATAAATCGGAAATCATCACTGTCTAATCCTTGAAATGTTTCTGTTTCAGTTAAGTGTTCATTTTGAACCATCAATTGAGGATTTTGAAGAACAAATGTTGGACAAGCTTAATCTCGATAGACTGCATAAAGTATTCTATAATATTAAGTTGCTGCTTACCTGTTGTTTTTAAAATTAAACTGCTGATTTTTATAGACTAGCTTGACAAAACATTGAAATATCCACCATTCTGCAACCTACAATGTATAATTATGATATATATTTGCTAAAGGAAACTGGTTTATGCTATTAATAACAACTTCCTGTTATTTTTAGAGTAATATTTCGCCTGATGATGGTCTGAGAGTTTCAGTAGTTGAAAGGAGATTAAGGGTGAGTATTGGTTTTAATTTAAGATAAACTTACATGATGCATCATAAAACTATTAATAGTTTAGCCCTCAGGCTGCTGATAGCTTGCTAAATTTTACTGGAGGGAAAAGGCTTGTTAAGGAAGGGCAGGTTTTTATAGGGGGGGGGGAGCACTGGGGCTTAAGGGGGGAGTGTCAGTAGTAAAAGCTTGGGCACTAATGTGGAGTTATTTGCTCATGCTTATTTGACAAATATTGCTAGTACCTTGTTTACTTCAAAGGATGGTCATGAGTTGTTGGGAAGCATATTGTTGGGAAGCAGGTGGCGTAGTGGTGTGAGCGCTCGCCTCTCATCAATGCGGCCCGAGCTCAAATCCCGCCGGGTTCGGTTTTGTATATGAGTAGAGTTGTTTGTTGGTTCTCCTGTGCTTTGAGGGTTTTCCAGGTTCTCTGGTTTTCCTCCCTCTACAAAAATCAACTCCTAAATTCCAATTCGATTATGGAATGAGGGCCACAGGTTTGTTAGCCACTGGCTTTTAAGTGCTACCCTCATGAAAAAAGGACATTTTGTTTTCTTACGGAGCGTAAGGGGGAGGGCTACAACCATTTTAAAAAAGTTTACAATTAAAAAGGTACCCTAAATGTTATAGAAGTACAGGGTGTGTATAATAAATTGTGGTATTTTATTAAAAGGTTGGCGTACATAATGGATGGACTTATGTTAGTGAGCCTCATGTAGTATATCTAGAGCCTGAATATGAAGGTGGTGGTAGTAAATCAGGAAGAAGATCTCCATCTCCATCACAGGGATCTCTCAAGAGTGCTGGTTAGTCAGTATGTTGTCTCATAAACAATAATTGAATTTATATTTATTATTAATAATAATAATCAATCTCTTCACTATGTTTTTGATATTTAAGATCCAAAGATTGCCTTAGCACTTGTTTTATTTTGCAACATACATGATTATCAATAATTTAAATCTTGTCATTGACAAGATCCTACCAATAAATGAATGAGTATAATTTATTATAAAACAATCTGGTTTGACAGAATAGTTCATGCAAGTTCAGCTTCCAGCTTGCATGCAATTTATAGAATGGAAAATACAGTGCATCGTGACACCTTGTGTTATCTCATGTTATTTGTTTGGAGCATTAGGTTATGACTTGAACGTAGACATGCACCAAAGTGACCATACACGTGTAAAACTCTGCCCACTTAGCTCAGTTGGTAAGAGCATTGGACTGTTGTACAGTAGAGCCTTAAAATAAGAAGGTGTTGCCTTTGTAATATTACATCTGCAAATGGTTAGACCTTCATGTTGCTCGGATGACCACGTTAATGGTGGTCTCATCTATCCCTACTTAATAAGCTAACTGTGCTGACATTCTAACCATGAATACTTTAAGGTTTTTTGACATGTTTCGATTCATCCAATCAAGAGCCTGATTCTTACATAACTGAAGTCCCAAAAAAATTTCATGCAAAGTCAAAAGTCCCTTGTTTTTTCGTTGCCATTAAAGTTTTTAAAAATTTATGTCATAATATAAAATGTATTAATTATTTTATAACAGTTTTTCGGTAAATTATTAATAAAAAATATTAAGCTTGCACTTTGTGCCACTGTTTTGCATACTACCATGTTTTAATACAGGTGTACAACAAACACAGACTGCAGACTGCAGACCAGATAAAAACAAAAAATCCAAATACATGAAATTTGTCTATAAATTCAAAAAGCATTTAATGTCCATTTAGTGTCCAGGATCGCTGTCACTGACACGCTTTCAATGGTATAGTAAATTTGTTGTTGTTCATTTTAACGTTATTGATGTACGGTGTCAATCGACCCCAGTTACAGTATTTATAATATGAAATAACTTATATGACACCCAAAGAAAAGCAATGGAAAGAAAAAGATATATGATAATAATAATAATGATGATATTCAATACTTAAATACTTTGATATTTGAGGAGAGGGGCCGAACCATTTGTGTTTTTTTCCTTGTAGCTAGGAGGAYATATTCTTTGTGCAAGATTGTTTTTTAACACACACAATATATTACTTTTACAGTTTTGCCTTACACGATTATTTTCCACTGTGCTCAATTTTTGTTTTTTTTCCCCAGCCCCTTCCACGACAACAAAAACGAATTGTTATATGCATTCCCCACAGGCAGCTTTGATCATAACACTGGATTAAGCGGTTTACACCGGAAAATTATCTCCTTGCAATAATTAACGCTAAAGAAACAGAACAGAAAACGCCAGTGATATTACAAATAGTTATTAACAAATAGTTATTTCATGTATTTGGATTTTTTGTTTTGATCTGGTCTGCAGTCTGCGTTTGCAGCACACCAGTTTTAATATGTGATCTAGCAGTTCATTAGTTCACACAGAGTGAGCTAAAAATAAAACATCTAAAGATTTTATGCCATTTGTTGTGATTCGATTCGCTTAAAAAAWTTTAATTCCTTTGTTACTATAGAGAACTTTGATAGGATAGTCAAAAAAATGTCAAAAAAAACCTTGAAGCGTTCATGGTTAGAGTGTCCACACTGTAAAAGAAGACCAAGAGTTTATCAGTTAAATTACTGTCAGGTGTTATCCTCTATAAACAAAATTTTTGAAAAAATTCTTTAAAAAACTGACCATTAACACATGTAATGGACTGACCTAAATACCATGTAACAAAACTGACATGTAACAAAACAACTAGTTACCGCCAAGGGTGTCATCATCCTAGTGTCACCATCCTGGTTTTTCTGTCCTGATGTGTAAGGTCTCTACTGTATGTCAATTGATATGCTAGCAATAACACCATAAGTTGAAAGTCCCATCATACAATTCAGTTTTGATATGATCATAAGATTATTAATTTTGGTAATTATAAAACCTCAATGTATCAATTAGATTATATAATAATTATTATAAATTAATATTGAATTTCTTATTTAGCATCCAAGATAATCTGCCTTGTGTTGAGAAGTAGACTAGAGTTGGTAGAACTAGTACAGCATCATTTATGTGCAGTTGTCTTTGAAGTAGAGTATGTAATATCTGAGCCATTTGCTCAACCTCTGATTGAAACCAAGAAGAAAAAGGTAAATCACATTAGGTTAATTAATTGATATGCTGTTGATCAGATAATAGTCTATTTTATAAGGGATCCTTTATCACAAATCCTGCACACTGATTGCATGGCTGAGCTACTATATATTGGGCAGGTCTATAAATATTTAGTGACCGACCACTAGTAGTGAATGGCCTTAGAATTCATAGGTTGTTGGTTCGTAGGCCGATTTTGTTTTGTCTTCGGGTCAAAAATGTTGGGTACGTTGGTAATGTTGGTTAAGTGTTTTAAATTGAAGTTGAAGTAGGAGGTAACAATAAAATGGTGAGTTCCCATTTATATTATCATAAGATCACAAGAGTGGTTAGGTGCGACTAAGATAATATTCAATGGTATACAAGCGCAGACTGTGTATGCACATGTATGATACCATGTGCATATGTTTGTCATGCACGTAATGTGAATTTTTTACTGATCTTGCCTTGATTTGTTACTACGTACTGTTGCAGCCATCTCTGTCAGGAAGTCTGATGAGATCCAACAAACATACAGTTACTGTTAAATTTGGAGTGTGGACTCCTTTTGAAGAAAATCGAATTGCTGAAGAGGAGGAAATTTCATTAGATCTAGAAGATGGAGCAAAAGTCTATCCTGGCATGAAAATGGTTTATAAAGCTAACAAGAATAAGGTTTGTGAAATGCAATTTCATCTGACTTGCACTACATGTTGTCTTTCCCTTCTTAGTGTGCTATTGATGGTTTTCAATCATTCCCAAGAGAATGTAATTACAAAAGACACGGCGGCCATGTTGGAGGATAAAAGAGAACAAAAGAGACTAATGATGAATCTTTTGTTAAATTCCTCCAACATGTCAGCCGTGAAAACTATCAATAGTATGTAATACATACATAACCCTCATTACTGTGCCTGCTTTCTTATTCCCCCAGATTCCTGGTAAAATAAAATTTATGTTTACCCAGCAAAGAAGAAAAGGGAGCAGCATGCGCTCCAGTATTCACGGTTCTCAGACATTGAATATACCACAATTAATGAAAGCAGCATCTAGTCTTGGGTCAGGGCAGCTGGTATCTACACCTTACAGCTCAATAGCTGATATTCCAGGAAATCTTGACCCAAATGTAAATTTGAGCCCAGGAATCATGGGACGGCCACCTTTACCAGAGAGGACAAGGTAATACCAATCACACCCAGTATTACTGAGCCCACAATATACTCCATGCTTATATTGGCAGCTGGTCTGATCAAAATTAAAGGATAATCACGATACTAGTGAATATTAGCAAACTGTGAGGGGTTTTTAAAAAGGAATTCCTTAAAAATGTAAAGATCCTCACATTGACAAGCCAACAAAATTTGTTTGAAAATGAGATTTTTCTGTTGTCTTTCACTCTCTCTATCTATCTGAAATATGCAAAACAACACCAACAGCAAAATTAAAGCACAAGTAATAATGATAGTGATAAATAATAACAATAATAATAATATTGAGAAAGTTCACAAGTGGTTATTGAGGTTTATGCTTAGGTCACATGCTGTAGGGCTGGGCCTTACCTGATCATTGTTCAACACTATTTTGTAGTATTGGTTGAGTAGACACAAACCAAAAACTGAACTGAACACTTTGGTTTTTGAGGTGTTACATGTTAGCTTGTTTTTTTACCATCCAAAGTATAGCATCAAGATACTAATACCACTTATACCACTGTCATATATTCTTATCATTAAAACTTTATTTTGTGTTTTCCTCTTCTCAGAGCTAGTGATGATTCCATTAATAGAGACTTCAATACACAGGTATAGACTAATATCCATAATTCTTGACTAGTCATAAAGTAGGGGTGTGTAGGGGGGGGGGGGGGGGGGGGGAGTAAAGCTGGATTTGAAGGAGCTATTTTTTTGCTGGTTCATTGTAAGATGAGTTCAAAAAATATCATGCCCCCTTTCTTTCAATGCAGAAAATAAAACTTATGACCCACCCCTAATGTACAGTCTTATAGGCAGCCCACCCCTTTTCAGTAGTTCAAAATTGTGTGACCAACCCCCTTGTTTTAACCCCCCAAACCCCACCCCCCCCCCACACACACACACACACAAACACCCTTTACTTTATGCAGGCCCGTAGCTAGGGGGGTGCAGGGGGCTAAAGGTCCGCTTTTTAAGCAAGTGAGATTTTGGCTGGTATGATATTTTCACATAAAACTAAGTAAAAAAATCAATTTTACTTTTTCATCTGATGACACAACAACGCTTCTCTATACAGATTCTGGTTGATTATTAGAAAAGTATGCAACTGAAATAAAACCCGCAGCGAGAACCACTATACGCGTATATTTCCTTAATTTTTGTTCGCTCCCAATTTTACCGTCTAAGTGTCCACTGTCTAGACAAGAACATGTTTTCTCGGCAAGGACTTCAAAGTTTCACTGCCTATTAAACTCATTAGCAAATGTCTGTCAACTAATTATAGGTAATAATAGGCGGTGGAACTTTGAAGTTTAAGCAAGTTTTTACTTTTAAGTTTACTGTAACAGACATTAACATGTTAGAGTCAGTGGACGGTAGTAGCAATCGACTGTATTCACAAAAATTGTTAGTCTAATCCTATTGAAAAGTCACCGAAACTCTAGAAATGGAAACACGTGAACAAGAAAATAGAAAATGAAAAGCCGCTGCGAAGTAATGTCAATCCATGAGATTTGCACGATTTAACTATTGTTTGTTCAGTATATAATTCATCTATACCTATGCGTCCTATGGGACTATTAAAAAATAAAGTATATGGTTGGTCCACTTTTTGTAAATTAGCACCCCCCCCCAACAAAAATCCTAGCTACGGGCCTGTTATGACCAGTCCTTTTTAAAAAATTTATAAAAGTTTCACCTCTCTTCTGATCGGCCTTGTCAATAATCCTTGTCAATAATACATTGTGATACTTTAAGTTGTCATTCAATAGTAAATATTTAATTCACTTACTGTGTTCTGGGATGGTTTGTTACAGGGTTTTCCAAGAGCCCATGGCACAGCTCCTGCACCTGCACCTGTTTCTAATCTAACAGAAGTACCTTATAGTCCTTATCATACTCCCCTGTTGCTAAGCAATGTTGCAGGGATGTCAAGGTAAGAGTGATTTACCTTACATACTTTGCATATTATGCAATAAATAAATCCATTCAAAGCACACTTCAGGCCTTTGTTATAATATTTTAGTTGCATAATTTATGAAAATGGCTGCAATCATTTTTTAGGTGCAATAACTTACAAAAAACTAAGACAAAATGGCTTTCCAAATCGACACTTGAAGAGCCCGTTCCTTTTTTTATTAATTCATTAATATTTCTGTTTGTTGCCTTAGTGGTACATCAACTTTGACACGTGCAGCCTTTGCTCAGCTATCCAGTACTGGCTATACATCTATTACTGATCGTCATGGTAACCCACCAATGGTGATTGACCCTGGTGAGGTGGTGCCATTGAATATAGAACATGAGGTGTCAGATTCCTTACAAGCCAATGAAATAGTAATACAGTTTCTTGCCCTTTCAAGGTTAGTTAGGTTCTCCTAGCATATAGCTCTACAATAACTGACTGTTGACTGTTTTGCATCATAATGTTCTATCAACAGGGTTCTCAGGGGTCAGGGAAAAGTCAGGGAATTTTTTATTTAGTCAGATAAATTGCGATTTCAACCTAAAGTCAGGGAATTTTGTTTAAAGTTAACCATGAGTATCTGTGTGGTACTCAAACTGTTTGCAATCTTTGAATAGACCGATAAAAAAAATATGATGAAAAAAATATTGAAGTATTTAGTATCATTTATGCTGGACAGTTTAATTACGTTGGGTATCCTGTGTAATATGATAAGAGCAGGGCCCAGGTAAAAGTTAGGCATGTGGCCCATGCTTGCCAATGCAGCTCAACAAGGTCATTGAAAATTGTTATTTAGTCAGGGACAAGTCAGGGACAAGTCAGGGAATTTTTGTTTTCAAAATGGCTGCTGGGAACCCTGATCAAGCACAATTGTCCCTCAGGCTTCATCCCTAATCTTCCATTTTTTATATATTTCAGCTGTTTTGGGCATCAATCAGTCTTCTTCACTTTTCAGTTCTACAGATTTCCACAAGTCACAACTGAAAAGTAAGACTGCATGATCTTGACAAAAAAAGGCTGATGTGCAATACATATTTATAGAACTGTACATTGGGAATTCTCTCCCAATTATACCTAAGTTCATTCAGTCTTAAAGCACTTCCATAAACTCCCAGATCGTGTTTTATTGGGCCAAAAACCACTTGACTATGCCTCATGGTTTTAAACCCAATAAAACACTTCTTCTTGTTTATTACAAACAGTGCACAAAACATACATTTAACTTTAAACATACCCATTTTCAGGCTTTTTTTAAAAGGTTCAGAGAAACAAGATCAACAGGGTCTTTTATGTATTTTACAAAAACTTTCCAAAGATGGTTCCATATCAAATGAAGCACCTGGACTTGTGGTATGTGAACAGAAAGTAACAAGCATTTTATTATTATAAAACAAGAAAATTAAGTGAAAACAACAAAAAAAAGTTATCCATAAGACTATGAGATATTCAGCTGTCGTAGGTCAAGAATACCCATATTTGGTTATCCATGGTTTTTCTTTTGCAGCTGAAGTATCTTGTTGACCCAGCATTCATGCAAGAAGGTGAACGTAAAGTCTTTAGTCGTTATCTCCTTGCTCAAAATATACACATTGACGTATGGGATGGAGATTCTCTCCTACTTATTGGTTCTGTTTCCTTGGAACTAAAGGTAAATGCATGACAACATTTCCCATGTATAATAAGAAGGCATACACCTTATTGAAATATGGCGACCAATTTGAATAACTCATTTTGTTCAGCACCAACTATCGACTCCGTAACCTCGTGTTCACGTTGAAACACAAAATCGTTTTTACATGTACGAGAGGCTAGTCAGTCGCTAGTCAGTCCTGAACAATAGTATTCAAATTGGTCCCCATTTCTCGATTAAGTGTATGGGAGATATGGGATAGTGATTCTATGTTACCTATTGATGATGGTCAGATAGGGAATTCCCCTTATCACAACATAATTTCCTAGTATGATAATATGGTATCAAGGGTTGATGACTAACCCAAATGCTGGGCCTGCCACGCTTCAATTAAAGCCGGATTAATTAGTGCTATCATCAAAGATAAACTCTGTAGGTATTATTTAGCGTTAACCTAGGGCTAGCAGTAATCAGGGTTTGAACAACTGGGCCCTGGACATCAAATACAAAGATCCTAATTATACATTAAATTTACTAATTTTGCCCACCAAAACATTTTCAGCATCTCCTTCGGCAGGGAAGAGAAGCGGTTCTTGTTAGTCATGAAGTGGATATTGTATCAGTTGAGTATTCAGAGGACTCACCTGCCATGACTGGAGACGTGGTAAGACTAGTAATGTTTATAGTATAATATAATGATTTTCAATAAGTTATTCATTGGAATGCCTTGGAGATCACATAATACAATATGTGATTATCATTGGTATAAGTAA